TGTGACCTTTGACATTTGACCTGAAGGGTTCATACCATGCACAGGGATACAATATTGTGTTTGAAAATAAATACCAGAGAAAGTATTTCAAAAATTGAATGGTATCATGCGTTAAAAAGCACTTAATAATAAAATCGACATCCAATAATATAATAATGTTATTTATTATTGAAATAGAACAAACTGTGATTATGTTTTCTTCTCTTGTCAATTTCAAGAAGCTCCCAGCAATCCAGTTCACAGATGAATTGTGTGGCTTGTATCAACAAAACAGCCAGGAAATAATCACTTTTAATTTGGCTTCAATTCACACTGACCTTGTAGCATTGAAAAACAAAAAAAATATGCAGGACAATGTATTCCAATGTATGTTACTGTATTTTATAACACACATTCACTTGGATTGGAAAATTATAATATTTGGTAATACATGTATCCTAATCTCAATATACCTTTAAGGTCAAAGGTGAAAGCTGCCCCTGGCAAAATGGTAACTATTAAACTTTGAATTTAAAACTATTGGTGTCATGGCATCACGTTATTAAAATGTTTTGAAATTAACATGCATGTATGTTTGGCTCTCATAGATTGTCATTTATTAGTTGCTATGGATACAGATGAGGATGATTCAAGAGATGATTCACCCGTTTTTTGTCGATCACAATCACATCCTGGGGATGATCCATGTCGTCAGGTTGAACGACCACATTTTCTACAGCTTCCCGGAGACAAGAACGCGGCCAAGAAACGGTCGCTGTCACTAGGGCATCGAACTGTGAAGAATGCTCTTGTACGTTCTAAAACACCGAGTGGAGAAACAAAGTCATCAGTGCTGTTACCTAGGAGACGGCGCTGCAAATCTTTGGAGCGACCACATAGATCTTCAGATAATTTTGTGTCACCACATCTTGCCCAATCAGCTCCTACCACATCCGTGATATTGGAGTGGGAAGAGTCTGCCGCTACGCGTAGTGAATCTGAAGATAGCGAAGACGATGAACCACCTAAGAGGACAATGTTTGAACTGATAATGAACAACACGCTTGCATTTGGTATTGAATATTGTTACGCCACAGAAACAGCCTTAGTGACTCCGATATTACTGCGTATCGGTCTACCAGATTCACTTTATAGTTTAACGTGGTTCATAAGTCCAATTTTAGGGTTTATATTCCAGCCTGTGATTGGCTCTACAAGTGACAGGTGCACTTGTAGCTGGGGTCGTCGCCGGCCATTTGTGTTCGCTTTATGTATTGGTGTTATGATAGGATTAACTCTCTTACTAAACGGCAATGATATCGGAAAAGCAATCACTGAACTACAAACTGGTAAGTACACTAATAACGTAGTCATTTAGTGAAAGCATACTATGCTGGATATGATAGGTTGCAACAAAAAAATATACAGGGGCAGCGGTCGTCATGCTGTGTCATGTTCAATATGTGTCACGTAGAAAAAAATACATTGTGAATTTCCACACAAAATCGAATATGTTGTGTGATGACCACTGCTCTTTAAGAGTATGAAAAAAAAACATGGGACAACACATGATGACCATCATACTTAATCTTTTTACCACCAGACTTTCTCGCCCGAATTTTTCTGCGCTTTGTTCTTTTTCTTTTCAATATTTCTGGAAATGAACCCTAATTTTGAAGCCAACAAATAAAATTTGCATGAATTTTCAGTTTTTATTCGAAAAATTTAGCTATGTTTGTCCCAATCTTCAGAAACTTTAGACAGTGCAGAAATATTTTGTGAATTTGTGATGAAAAGATGGAACTGGTGGTGAAAAAAGAAATCTCAACAGCACAATTATTTTTAATTATTTATTTTTCAATTATTTTATGGCTCTATTTGAGATGCATTTCTAATAGAACAAATACAGTATGGCTAAATCATTCAAATCAGGAGATGTATTTTACTGCTGTGTGTAATATGAGGTTATTAACGAGTGAAGAGAATCCTCGTAATTATCTTATTATTATTATACATCATTTCCTCCCAATGATACATCATCCGAATGCAGAAATCCAAAAAGTTTAGAACAGACTAAGCATACTCCTTTGTGTGGGGGCCGGTCAAACCCTGGGGGCAGCCATGTTTGTTTTTTTATTATAAAAGGCCGCTTACGTGCGTAATAATTTCATATTTGGAATTCGCGTATTTCACTTGTGTTGTGAGAGGTCAGTAGCATTGCAGAACCTCAAAACTGATCTAAATTTGACTTGAAATATACAGATTTTTTCACCCTACCGTCACTTATCAACTATTGATTATATGTTCCAGTTATTGGTTGTTTTAAAGTATTTAAAAGCAGTCTTTCAAGTAGTCACAAGAATATCTACATTTTGTCTCTGCAATCTTGAATTGGACTTTAAAAAAGCACAAATTTGAATTAATAATATTTTTCTTAATGGTGAATACTATAAACCGTATATTTGCAAATTTTTACAATATCATACAACTTCAAAGGACAGGGTGACAATATCGATTCAATTTTTTTCATTCCAAATTTAAAGATGATATCGTAAAATATCTGCTAAAATCTGCATATTCTCGATGAGCGGACGTGTAGCAGCTCCACCTTTGTATACATGACTGCACATGGTAACCAAGCAACCAGAGAACTAAATTGGTTATTTAACTTGTACAGCAGGTGTCTATGACATTTACAGACACAGTACATCAGATGGTCTTACTGCATTGTAACATCTAAAATAAATCTGTGTAACACATTGTCAATTCACTTCATAGCAAAAGATTTTCAGTGCCACATTACTGATTGTACATCGTCATCTTGCACCTCTCGGCGTCAACTTCACATTCTTGACCTCATCTTGAAAACGTCAGTCCACTTGCTTTGACACTCCTTATATATGTACCTTGGGTGGACATTTTGTGTTTTATTTTGACAGATATGTTTTGTAATTTTTGGTAAAAAGTGTTATTTTTGACTTCTTCTTGAAAATGGCTATTTTGATTGCTGTGATTTTTTTTTATGGAGACACCTTGGGTGGACCTCAGTCAGATTTTTTTTCATTTTGTGACGATAACTTAGTGAATAACTTTAGTGAATGTTTTTGTCATTTTGGGTAAAATATGCTATTTTCAACATTCAGCCTGCTTGTTTGGCCTATTGTGCATATGTTTTGTAGAAAGTGGTTATAAATAATAACAATTTCTCTATTTTTGGCAACGAGATGATACACAGGATTTATTATATAATCATACTTAATTTGCTTACTTTACAAACGATTATTTTCCTATTGTGATCTAAAGAATATCTGATAAGATAGGTGGCCCTATTATGGAAGAGGTTTGATGGTATGACGTTTTGAAAGGTTTTGAAGGTGCACAAAGTTGTTGTTTGTGGGTCACTATCGTCTAGGGTAATTTTTTGTGGCGCTTTTGTAAATCTAAAATTCGCAAAGATTTTAAGATGATTAATAATCCATAATGCATAAAAATGAAATTTGAATAGTCTAGAGTGACAGCCAAGTTGACCTTTGGGGGAAGTGTTCATTATTCATTGTTGTAATAGTTCTTGTTTGTTTTCTCCTAATAGAACTCAATTTTCATCATAATTTTAACATAGTTGCATAAACAAGACTATGTATTTCACCTTGCTTCATCACCCATCATGAGAATTGGACAAATCTTGGATGTAACTTCATAATTATTTTTTGAGGCTTATCTACAAGTATCGTCAGAGATTACATAAAATGCTCAATATATACATGTAGACAAAATATTACTGTAAATTCTGCTCCTGAAATGAAATCTTGATAAAAATTGACAATTTTTAACCTTTTTATCAAAATCTAAAAACGAATGTCAAATACTGTCTGGGTGATTCAAAATCATATTGAAATTTAAGGAAAATTTTGTAAAATTTGTAAAAATTTACACGGAAAACTATCTGGCGGTTAAAGACTTCTGGATTCTCTTGAAAGTGTTAGCAACTGAAATTTGAAAAAAAAATAATCGAATGGGAAGTTGAAATGATGTGCAATATGTAATTATTCGGTATTTGCCGCAATACATAGACAATCAAATTTTTCACATTTTAGTCCTCAGATTTGTTGTGAAGCTTTAGTATTAATCTCTTAGTGTAAGTTCAATGTTCGGACAAAGATATGGAAGTTAAATTCATTGTTGTTGATGACCTTGTCAGTTAAGGCATTAACTTTTAATAAATTATTAATTTTTTGGGATATTTATAAATTGCCTTTATTTGACTCATGCATGCTTCACTGGTTTTTGTTTTCAATTTTGTTTATTTTGTCACCAGCTTTTAATTCTTTTCTTTTATTTCAATTTTATTTTTCATTTGCTGTCGTCATTTTCTCATCAATTCAGTTCCTGAAGTTGCAGGTATGTAATACACTTAGTTTACATTCACATTAAATTTTCATTTTTTTAATGTTTTTTTTTTTTTTTTTTTTATATCAAGAATTCCAATTTTGACACAAATGTTTTTATTTCAGCCTGGCGGGTGATGGTTACTGTACCACTCATGCGTCAAGATTTAGGTCACAAGATGAACAAAATTCTTGCTCACATTAATCACAATGCAATGAGCGCACATCTTACATAAACAATGTCAAATGTTTCTCAAATCAAAGTGTACAAAAAAAAAGACGTTAGCAAGGTTTATATCAAATTATGAATACGCGCTCCCGAACCATCACTGCGTTCATTTCACCCAAATAAAAACTTGCATGTGTACTCAATAACATTATGAATTGTTAGTAGAAACCAGTAGGCAGAATCAATGTGTTCATCAACACAAATCTGGCTTGGCGTGTTGACGTGACGACCATCGCCCTTGTATTTTAATATTTCACTTTGTGTCATGGTTGATGACACCACAGTTTTGTAATACAGATTTACTTTAACTTCGCAAGAGAAAAATTTTGATGAATTTTATAAATCACTGAAAATTGCGAAATTTTGTAGAAGTAAAAATTTCACTTTGTCATAAAGACAGCGATTCAGAGTGACTTTCATGAAAATTTTACCTGGCAAATCTTATTCAAATTAAATTTAATTTCAAGTATTATATAAGTAAGGCCATATTAGTAATTTTCTGATCAATTTCTTTTTTTAAATCAATGCACGCAGGTAGCTTAGTATTTCCATTCTGAAATTGTAATCTAATTTGTGATTTTTCTAAATTTAATTTTTTCTAAAATTTTAATGAAAAAACTAAAATATACGCTGATGCACATGGTGACCACAAATACAGAATATTTTTGTCGGGACCTAATTTGATAACTTCTATCAATCGAGCTGGCTTGGTTATGAAAATACCATGCTTGGATGCGAATACTTTACAGAGATACTGTGATATTTATATAAAAAAAACAGTAGTACATTTTTAACATTGGCATTCAAAAGACAATTCCAAGGTCAAAGTTGAATAATTAATGACTAGGTAGGGAAAATAAATATCTGACTATTTTGATGTGTAAAGAGTAGTCATTTATCTAGCCTGAGTACTTGACTATTGTTCCACTGGTTACTATCTCTTCATTAATTAATGTATGGAATTTCTGCTAAGTATTTGCTAATTAACTATGTAAATTTTTCCACTTTTATCTCTGTGTAAACTATCAGTTGATATAGATAGAGGAAAATACATATTTATATATATATACTGTAAAATACTATAAAAAGATTAATTATTCACTGGGTTTTAATTTTGCTTATTTCGCTGACTGGAAAATGCGCTAAATTGAAACCCAGTGATTATGTAAAATTTAGCATAGAACACATTATCTAAATGATAAAACCGTGATTTTAAAACCCATTGAATATGCCTGAAATGGTAAATCAGCGAAATTTAAACCCAGTGAAAGTCTTTTGTATGGAATCTATTTTCACTGATCATTGATGAGTTGAATAGGAAAAAAGTATATTCACTCAAAAATAAATTCTGATGGAAAATAAAGTATTTTACAGTAAATTTACTCCATTATAACAAACTAGTCAGCATTGTGGTTACTGACCATGAAAGAAAATTCCAGTGAGAAGGTATTTTTTTAAGCCATGGTATCTATGAATTTTGCACCATGTGATAATATTCAATTTAAATTGATATTGCAGATAATGTTGCCAGCATAGTACTGACCATAGTCGGAGTTGTCATGTTGGATTTCTGCGCAGATTCTTCGGATAGTCCCGCGAGGGCCTATATGATTGATGTGTGTAACTCGGATGACTTAGAGAAAGGATTAAATCTGCATGCAATGCTTGGAGGTATGTACCATTGAGAATTCACTACAAACACTGGTTAATCCAACCGTAACCTTCTGAAATAATTTTTTCCACCAAAATGTAGATGAAACATTTTGCATGATTTTAAAAATTTGTCTACAATTTCTTTATTAATTTTGCACATCACAATACCCACAATGCAGCAGTCTACCTGCACAATTAATTTTGCACATCACAATACCCACAATGCAGCAGTCTACCTGCACAATTAATTTTGCACATCACAATACCCACAATGCAGCAGTCTACCTGCACAGTTAGTTTTGCACATCACAATACCCACAATGCAGTAGTACTTGCACAATTAATTTTGCACATCACAATACCCACAATGCAGCAGTACCTGCACAAATAATTTTGCACATCACATTACCCTCAATGCAGCAGTCTACCTGCACATTTAGTTTTGCACATCACAATACCCACAATGCAGCAGTCTACCTGCACAATTAATTTTGCACATCACAATACCCACAATGCAGCAGTACCTGCACAAATAATTTTGCACATCACAATACCCACAATGCAGCAGTCTACCTGCACAATTAATTTTGCACATCACAATACCCACAATGCAGCAGTACCTGCACAATTAGTTTTGCACATCACAATACCCACAATGCAGCAGTCTACCTGCACAATTAATTTTGCACATCACAATACCCACAATGCAGCAGTCTACCTGCACAATTAGTTTTGCACATCACAATACCCACAATGCAGCAGTACCTGCACAATTAGTTTTGCACATCACAATACCCACAATGCAGCAGTCTACCTGCACAATTAATTTTGCACATCACAATACCCACAATGCAGCAGTCTACCTGCACAGTTAATTTTGCACATCACAATACCCACAATGCAGCAGTACCTGCACAATTAGTTTTGCACATCACAATACCCATAATGCAGCAGTCTACCTGCACAATTAGTTTTGCACATCACAATACCCACAATGCAGCAGTCTATCTACATTTTTGGTGACAAACATGTTTTTTCTCAGTATCATGCCCTAGTCCATGAAATATACAAAATTGTCTGCATTTTCAACAAACAATTCAGTGTTTTACAACATTCCAAATTCTGTCAACAAGTTATGAAAATAACATAATACTCTTATATTATCGTACATTTCCAATCAAACACATTTTTCAGCTACTGTATTTTGTAACTATGATGTTTAAACAGATGGGACATATATAAGCAAACATTGACCCAAGGCTGAAGGCAGTACGCCCAAATTTGCTTCCAAATTTATCCATAGATTGCAGGGATGGGATGTAGCCCTCTAATGGTATTAATGTACAATAACAATTACTAAGCACAATAATGAATGATTCTACTTTTTCTTCTCCGTGTAATGTCTTTAATATTTCAACACAATATCTCTAGGGGCTACAAAGATACATCAGTATGTGAGTCAGATAGTGCTAGTATTTGAGTCAGATAGTGGTCAGTATTCAAGTCAGATAGTGCTAGTATGTGAGTCAGATAGTGGTCAGTATTCAAGTCAGATAGTGGTCAGTATTCAAGTCAGATAGTAGTCAGTATTCAAGTCAGATCACTACACATTGTGTTTAATCATGTGTGCATAGGCACTTACAAATATGATATTTTTCTTAATTAAGTATTCATTGAACCAATATATCTATAAAAATAAAAAAATTAAAAATATTAAACTAAAAAAAAAGTTAGATCTTTGTGATTTGATGCCAATAAGGGACAACATCAAAAGTTCAATGTAGGATAAAAAACTTAATTCCTTTAGTTTTTTCCCAAACCCCCCTACCCCCCACTGAAACTTAATTGATAAATATTGACCATGGCGTCAGACTACATTCACCATTAAATACAATTTGATAATCGAACAGTAGTATGGCATAGCAGTTGGTTGTCGGGTGGGTGTAAAAAGACTTTACACTCTGACCAAACCATAGAAAAAAATTACAAATACTCCAAGATTTTTTTGACTTCATAAAAAAATAAAATCGTTTTTGTAGGATAGAAACTTTTTGAGGTCAAAACCCCCCACCCCCAAACTAAAGCAAATAAGTTTTTTATTTGACATCAATCTTTTGACGTCGTCCCTAAAATTCCTCTGAAATTGATTTTAGCTGACATTCGTTCTCGCAGATGCACATATAAAAGAGCAAATACAATATTGTCGGCATTTGTAGCAATATTTCAAAGTAAAGCGAATCTCATCTTAAGTGGCTTTGCTTTGTCGTTCCATCCATTTTTAATAACGCTCAGATTTGCATCATTTCACTAAACTATAAATGCTGATAGACATATTAATAAAATATTAATAGTTTATAAATTATTTTAAATAGAAACATGTATTATGTCATGTTAGGAATTGAAATATTAATTACGCCATTATATTAATTATTCACTTTCGACTCAGTGGATTTATGTATGTTTTCAGGGTGAGTAGATGGCATATAGTTTCAATTAGAATATTGTAGAATACTTTATTTAAGCTGGAATTAATTTTTGCTGAAAAGACTTTTTGGTGTTTTGTATGGAATTTATTTTCACTGATTTTTAATGAGTTGAATGTAAAATATATGAAAAAGGTATATTTGCTGGATTTTATTTTAACTGAATCGTTCCTTCAGTGAAAATAGCGAAAATAAATTCTAAGCGTATTAAAGTATTTTACGTACATAGAAAAGTATGTGTAGGACATCGGTTATTGTCATATTTAGTTTTATGAATCCAGTCATGCATGGCAGAGCACAATTTGTGTGTTAAAATGAAAAGTTATCATAAATCAAATACTATAAAGTGACAGCTGTTACTGTTTGGTCATTATTGGCAATATTCTGATGATGATGGTCATTAAAATATTTATAGACGGGATATCCTCTCATTCATAAAGCAATATATGCCATATAATATATAGAATGTAATTATTCACTGGGTTTTTTTTTCTACTTGTTACACTGATAAATAAATGCATTAAATTAAAACATAAATTCAATTATTGAACTTATATTTTGTTTCATAAACTATCGGTAGTGAATATCCCTGCAACATTAAATCTATTAAAGTTTATAGTTACTGTTGTTAGAACTACACATACATGTATTCTGCAGTTCATATATCATACTTCTGTTTTCTGATAGGTCTTTCTCTACGTCACATTTACTTACTGTATAGGGGTTAATTATTCACTGGGTTTTAATTTTGCTTATTTCGCAGAATGGAAAATGCGCTAAATTAAAACCCAGTGAATATGTAAAATTTAGCATAGAACATATTATCTAAATGATAAAACCGTGAATTTAAAACCTACTGAATATGCCTGGAATGGTAAATCAGCGAAATTTAAACCCATTGAAAATTTTCAGTATTATATACACAGTTCAAAACATAAACATAGCTAACAGCCAGGTCTAATGGTCATAAACCTGGCTGAGTTAACAATATATTATTGTCACAAAAAACCCTGAACTGACCAACCACTGCACATACTTTACTAACCTGTAATTTTTGTGTTCAATTGGTTTTAGCATTAGTGTGCATTCTGAGCCAATATGATGCACCACTGACACACAGACATTTGCTGTGAGGCTACTAGTTTTGCCAGTTCACTGATGCAATAGACACTGACGCAATAGACACTGATGCAATAGACACTGATGCAATAGACACTGACGCACTGACGCAATAGACACTGACGCACTGACGCAATAGACACTGACGCACTGACGCAATAGACACTGATGCAATAGACACTGACGCAATAGACACTGATGCAATAGACACTGACGCAATAGACAGACGCACTGACGCAATAGACACTGACGCAATAGACACTGATGCAATAGACACTGACGCAATAGACACTGATGCAATAGACACTGATGCAATAGACACTGATGCAATAGACACTGACGCAATAGACACTGACGCAATAGACACTGAAGCAATAGACACTGACGCAATAGACACTGATGCAATAGACACTGACGCACTGACGCAATAGACACTGACGCAATAGACACTGATGCAATAGACACTGACGCAATAGACACTGACGCACTGACGCAATAGACACTGACGCAATAGACACTGACGCAATAGACACTGACGCAATAGACACTGATGCAATGGACACTGACGCACTGACGCAATAGACACTGACGCACTGACGCAATAGACACTGATGCAATGGACACTGATGCACTGACGCAATAGACACTGACGCACTGACGCAATAGACACTGACGCAATAGACACTGACGCAATAGACACTGACGCACTGACGCAATAGACACTGACGCACTGACGCAATAGACACTGAAGCAATAGACAGACGCAATAGACACTGACGCAATAGACACTGACGCACTGACATAATAGACACTGACGCACCAATGCAATAGACACTGATGCAATAGACACTGACGCAATAGACACTGACGCAATAGACACTGATGCAATAGACACTGATGCACCAATGCAATAGACACTGATGCAATAGACACTGACGCAATAGACAATAATACATTGATATAGTGAGTGAATAAAAACAAATTGAGAAATAAAAAGATGTAACTTTGTATTTATCAAGTTAATATATTATAGAGTACATTTCTTTGTGTACAAAATAAATCAAGTTGTATCCAGACTAAACAAGTCAAACATGTAAACAGTTTTCATTAATATTATAATTTCTAACCATAAATTTGATACAAGAATGTAGTGTTGCATTTAGGATTTTAACTCAATTTTTTTCCAATGAGTTGATATACTGAAAAAAGGAATTTATGGTGCTACACAAATGTTCTGAGTTATGCATTTTGGAACAAAATGGCTGTTCTTAATCTTTTCACCACCAGTTCTCTCTTTTCATCACAAATTCACAAAATAGTCCTGTTTATGGTCTGCACTTTCCTTCAGAAGATTGGAAAAAACAAGGCAATTTTTGAAAATTGATTAAAATTTTGTCTGTTGGCTCCAAAAATAGGGTTCATATTTCCTGAAATATTGAAAAATATAAGAAAAATGTACAGAAAAATTTGGGCGAAAATTATTAAGAAAACTAAAAGTGCTAAGCTATTTTAGATTCAGAAGAGATTTTCTTTATCACTTTCTTCTCACTGAATGCACTATTGTTAAATTATTCATTACACTGCTGTATGTGATCAGAATTAATTCAATAAAAAACACTAGGAAATATGTCAATATCAAACCCAAAACCCTAATTTGTTAAATCAGCAAGCGTCAAAGGCGTTTCAGCGAAGGCCTTCCATCGATACATGCATGATCTGTTAATGATTCTCTGTTTAGTATTGGTGAAAAACCATGCAATGTCGCGTGAGGGCGTTTACAAGCATTAACGGTCCTTAGGCTATCGACCTAAACATAAATGCCTGCGGCATTTCTTGCAAATGACTTTGGCCTTTTCTGATGTAGTATACTAACAAATAAGGCCTGAGAATTGTTAACAGTCTATCTAAACTGAACCTTATGGTAAAATGCAAATCTTTTTAAAATGATCATCACATACATCCTATCTAATTTTTTGAAAACACACACCTAGAGCAAACATTTTTCTCTGACCAATCGGTGTTTGATTCAGATTAAAAATCACTACTTCAGTCCCATTGCTGTTCAGTTTAGACAAGTTTTACTATACAAGGCCCATTGTTGTTCAGTTTAGACAGGTTTTACTATACAAGGCCCATTGTTGTTCAGTTTAGACAGGTTTCACTATACAAGGCCCATTGTTGTTCAGTTTAGACAGGTTTCACTATACAAGGCCCATTGTTGTTCAGTTTAGACAGGTTTTACTATACAAGGCCCATTGTTCAGTTTAGACAGGTTCTACTATACAAGGCCCATTGTTGTTCAGTTTAGACAGGTTTTACTATACAAGGCCCATTGTTGTTCAGTTTAGACAGGTTTCACTATACAAGGCTCATTGTTCAGTTTATACAAGTTTTACTATACAAGGCCCATTATTGTTCAGTTTAGACAGGTTTTACTATACAAAGCCCATTGTTGTTCAGTTTAGACAGGTTTTACTATACAAGGCCCATTGTTGTTCAGTTTAGACAGGTTTCACTATACAAGGCCCATTGTTGTTCAGTTTAGACAAGTTTCACTATACAAGGCCCATTGTTGTTCAGTTTAGACAGGTTTCACTATACAAGGCCCATTGTTGTTCAGTTTAGACAGGTTTCACTATACAAGGCCCATTGTTGTTCAGTTTAGACAGGTTCTACTATACAAGGCCCATTGTTGTTCAGTTTAGACAGGTTTTACAATACAAGGCCCATTGTTGTTCAGTTTAGACAGGTTTCACTATACAAGGCCCATTGTTGTTCAGTTTAGACAGGTTTCACTATACAAGGCCCATTGTTGTTCAGTTTAGACAGGTTTTACTATACAAGGCCCATTGTTCAGTTTAGACAGGTTCTACTATACAAGGCCCATTGTTGTTCAGTTTAGACAGGTTTTACTATACAAGGCCCATTGTTGTTCAGTTTAGACAGGTTTCACTATACAAGGCTCATTGTTGTTCAGTTTAGACAGGTTTTACTATACAAGGCCCATTGTTGTTCAGTTTAGACAGGTTTTACTATACAAGGCTCATTGTTGTTCAGTTTAGACAGGTTTTACTATACAAGGCCCATTGTTGTTCAGTTTAGACAGGTTTTACTATACAAAGCCCATTGTTGTTCAGTTTAGACAGGTTTCACTATACAAGGCCCATTGTTGTTCAGTTTAGACAGGTTCTACTATACAAGGCCCATTGTTGTTCAGTTTAGACAGGTTGTACAATACAAGGCCCATTGTTGTTAGGTTTAGACAGGTTTCACTATACAAGGCCCATTGTTGTTCAGTTTAGACAAGTTTTACTATACAAGGCCCATTGTTGTTCAGTTTAGACAGGTTTTACTATACAAGGCCCATTGTTGGTTCAGTTTAGACAGGTTCTACTATACAAGGCCCATTGTTGTTCAGTTTAGACAGGTTTTACTATACAAGGCCCATTGTTGTTCAGTTTAGACAGGTTCTACTATACAAGGCCCATTATTGTTCAGTTTAGACAGGTTTTACTATACAAGGCTCATTGTTGTTCAGTTTAGACAGGTTTCACTATACAAGGCCCATTGTTGTTCAGTTTAGACAAGTTTTCACTGACAAGCAGATTTCAATTTTCACAGTATCACAGGCCTTATTGGTAGTATATGTATCACCATGGCAATACCCTAATATTTTGACTGTGTTTCATTCTCAGGTCTTGGAGGTGGTATCAGCTACATTATGGCCGGCATCAGCTGGGAAAAAACAAAACTGGGTCAACTTCTTGGAGGTCATTACAGGGTCGTTTTTATATTTAACATAATTGTATGTTTTGTAACATTTTTGCCAACGCTCTTCAGTATCAAGGAAATTCCGCTGAAATCAAGTTCTTCTGCTTTGAAAGCAACAGAAGAGTCCTCACTGCCGACTTCAATTGGACCTAGTTCAACATACGGCAGCATTAATCAGACACCTGAACTTATTGTGGAAGTTAATCATTATGATCGCCGCAATAGTTACCATGGTTACACAGAATCTGAGGAAACACCACTACCTCCAAGGACGTTGTCAGATTCTGATAGTGACGATGACCATTCAAAAAAGCATGTCACTCGGTCAAGAACTCGGACTCGGTCATCGTCAAGTAGGACAGACTCGCCCGAAGTAAAAAGGACACTTGTAAAAATTGATAAAAAAGTTGGTAAGATTGAATCAAACGTTGAAAGCATGGAACATTCAGTGAAAAATATTGAACGTAAAGTTACAGATCTTGAGTCATCGATTAAAAGTTTGCAAGATTTCTCTACATTGCCGCCAGTAAAAGAGACACGAAGGAGCAGTCAACATAGTTCAAATTCCAGTGATGAGCCAACATCTGTATGGCAATTAATGAAGTCCATCATTTTCATGCCTGGGATACTAAGACGTCTTTGTCTTAATCACTTCTTTGGATGGTTTGGCGTTGTTTCATATTTACTATTTTTTACTGACTTTGTAGGCCAGGTTGTTTACAACGGTAAGTTTTATTCTTTTCGTCTTTTTGTTGAATCTGATAGGTTGTGATATTTTCAGCCAGTCTAGGCAGTCTGATAGAGTCTGATAGAGTGTGATAGATTGTGATAATTTCAACCATTTTAGGTAGTCTGATAATATGTGACAGGTTGCAATAATTTCAGCCAGTCTAGGCAGTCTGATAAAGTTTGATAGGTTGTGATAATTTCAGCCAGTCTAGGCAGTCTGAAAAAATGTGATAGGTTGCAATAATTTCAGCCAGTCTAGGCAGTCTGATAAAATGTAATAGGTTGTGATAATTTCAGCCAGTCTAGGCAGTCTGATAAAATATAATAGGTTGTGATAATTTCAATCAGTCTAGGCAGTCTAATAAAATGTGATAGGTTGCAATAATTTCAGCCAGTCTAAGCAGTCTGATAAAATGTAACAGGTTGTGATAATTTCAATCAGTCTAGGAAATCTGATAGATTGTGATAGATTGCGATAATTTCAACTTTCAATTTTGTAGATTGTGACATATTGTAGTATGTTTTCATTTTCACATCAGGCGACCCAAAGGCAGAACTCAACACTACAGCAAGAGACAATTATGATGACGGTGTCAAGATGGGATGTTGGGGAATGTGTATATTTGCATTCTCAGCTGCTATATATGGATGTGAGTATTACTGATGATGTTAGGGGGTTCATTAATTATGTCAATTGGCTTGTTGGGAATGTCCATACGAATGCATTGTGATGATGCTAGGGAGTCATAGCAATATTGCTTCATTCAGCCAGCTATTTTGAATTTATTGTGATTATGCTAGGGAGTCATAGCAATATTGCTTCATTCAGCCAGCCATTTTGAATTTAGTGTGATTATGCTAGGGGGTCATAGCAATATTACTTCATTCGGCCAGCCATTTTGAAATTATTGTGATGATGCTAGGGGGTCATAGCCATATTTCTTCATCCAGTTGGCCATTTTGAATTAGAAAATATTCAAAGAAAATGGAGTCAAAGAAAACAAAATTGCATCAGACAATGTAATTTGTAAAAATACTAATTCAATTGTTTTTATTTTGTTTTTCAGTTTTATTTGAACGTATATTGAACTATGTGAGTATACGTACAGCGTATGTTGGTGGTGAACTCGTATTTGCTGTTGGTATTGGTTTGATGTCAATATTCAACAACAATGTTTACGTCACTTTGTCCATGTGTTCGACAGTAGGGATTATGTTTACAACAATTACGACATTACCGTTTACTATCGTATCAGAATTCCACGATTGCGATAGTGTAAGTATGCCATTCAACATCTCAAATTATGTTGTCATTGCCATGGTTACCTATGTGAGTATACGTACAGTGTATGTTGGTGGTGAACTCAACCCAAAACTCCAATTGAAAATATAACTTGCATAAACTGAAAATGAATTACATTTCTTCATTGATTGTCATCTCTTCAACAATTATCCAGATGAAATGAAGGAAAATATAAAACTCCCTAAAGAAATAGATAATAAACAAAAAACATTTATATATCTGATGAGCAATAGTAACCAAAATATAATTAAACAAGTAGGGAAGTATATTTACACATCTTTTAAAATCAGAAATGAAAATTTATAAACTCATTACTAGGTACGTTCATTTACTTATTATTAACTAACTCAACTTCCTTTTATTAGTCCCCGTTCGGACGAAGTCCGAAAACGGGGACTTATAATTCGGTCTCCGTCCATGTGTCTGTGCGTCCGTGCGTCCGTCCGGAGTCATATCTCAGAATCCCTTGGACCGATTCCGTTCATTCTTTGCATGTGCCTAGTACTTTATGTGGGACATATGCACATGCAGTGGTTTAGCGATTCGATTCAAAATGGCCGACTGGCAGCCATCTTGTTTTTTGAAAATAGTGTATTTTGGACATGCTTTGGCAGTTTTCTTTCAAACTTGGTACATAGATTATACATGTTAGGATACATGTCCATGACGATTTATTTCACAATTGGATCAAAGATGGCTGACTGGCAGCCATCTTGTTTTTTGAAATGTCGTATTTTGGACATGCTTTGTCAGTTTTCTTTCAAATTCAGTACATAGATCATACATGTCAGGATACATGTCCCCGGCCGTCCGTGAGTTCCTGAGTCTGTCCGTCTGTGTGTCCGTCCGTGCGTCAGTCTGTCCAGAGTCATATTTCAGAATCCTGTGGACTAATTCCGTTCATTTTATTTGCATGTGCCTAGTACCTTATGTGGGACATATGCACATGCAGTGGTTTAGCGATTCGATTCAAAATGGCCGACTGGCAGCCATCTTGTTTTTTGAAAATGTTGTATTTTGGACATGCTTTGTCAGTTGTCATTCAAACATGGTACATCGATTATACATGTTAGGATACATGTTCATGACGATTTATTTTGCAATTTGATCAAAGATGGTCAACTGGCAGGCATCTTGTTTTTTTGTTTTTTTTCTGCGGTATCTCTTTATGCGTGCTCTGTCAGTTTTCATTCAAATTCGGCACATACATGTACTTTATACATGTTAGGATGCATGTCCATGACAATTTGTTTCAAAATCTGGTCAAGGATGGCCGATTGACAGCCATCTGACTTTTTAGCTCCGCTGTCGACTTTGTCGAGCGGAGCTTATCATATGAGTGATTGTCCGTCGTCGTCGTCGTTGTCGTCGTCGTCCGTGTCAATGTTTTACTTTTTCGACTTCTTCTTGAAAACTACAAGCCTAAATGCTTTGATACTTGGTGTATATGTACCTTGGGTAGACCTCTCTTAGGTTTGTTTATTTCATGTTGATATCTTTAATTCTCTAATTTTGGTGAATATTTTTGTCATTTTTGGTAAAAACTGATATTTTCGACTTCTTGTTAAAAACCGCAAGTGCAATTGCTTTGATATTACATTTATAGGTACTACATGTGGACCTCTCTCAGATTTGTTAATTTTATAATGATATCTTTAATTCTTTAATTTTGGTGAATATTTTTGTCATTTTTGGTAAAAACTGATATTTTCGACTTCTTGTTAAAAACCGCAAGTCCAATTGCTTTGATACTACATATATAGGTACTACATGTGGACCTCTCTCAGATTTGTTCATTTCGTGATGATATCTTCAATTCTCTAATTTTGGTGAATATTTTTGTCATTTTTGGTAAAAACTGATATTTTCGACTTCTTGTTAAAAACCGCAAGTGCAATTGCTTTGATATTACATATATAGGTACTACAT